AATGGTTATGTCGCTGGACTCCCACGTAGTTGACTGCAGTTTGAGTCCCGGACCTGGCAACTTCAAACTCATGCAGGGTGCATGTGAATGCTTGTTCCAAATCCGAGAGGTGAATGGAGAGGAGACTGCTGTGTAGCCATCCCCCTGGGGGTCACTTTTTGCTTTCTCTGTCACTCCAGTTAGTGCATACCCCCCCATAGTAAAAATCTTTCTCTTAAAAAAAAAAAAAGAAGAAGAAGAAGAAAAGGAAAGAAAGAAAGAAAGAAGAGAGAAGAAAATTCTGAATCTTTCATGTTGGAGTTACAGCTGGGAGCTGCTCTATTCTCCACATGATTTGGGTATACAGCTGAGTTTGAAAATCATTGCTCTAGTCTCATTTTCTAACCCATAGAAAATTCTCTAACCCTTCCTTTAAAAGGCAATAATTTATTCTTTACAAGAAGCCTTCAGAAATAAGGAACTTCCTACTTCACAGTTTATATTTTACTACCAAATCAGAGGCACAATGTAACTTCTTGCTTTGAAGGAACTGGGCAGCCCACTGGATGACGGAGGCACCTGTGGACCGAGTCGGGGTCTAGACTTCTCTTACAACGGGATCACCTGGAATGGATGTTGCTTAGCACCAAGCACTAAAGCTTCGCCTCTCAGGGCTGCAGATGGCTTAATGGCTATGACACTGGACTCCCACATAGTCAACCGTGGTTAGAGTCCTGAATCTGGTGGCTTAAAATTCACGGATACATGTGCATGCATGGCCAAAATCCAGAGAGAATGGAGGAGAAGGGATTGAGTCATGGCCCTTCCCCCGGGGCGGGGGGTGATTTCTCACTTCCTGTCTCTCCGGCGAGCACATGTGCCCTATAACAAAATTCTCTCTTTTAAAAAAGTGCCTCACCTCTCAAGAGAATTCTTACCTCTTCACTTCTCCAGACATTAAACAAGTATGTGTATTTTCCAGGATAGCCCACAAACTTCCCTTTAAAGAAAGCTACGTAGAAGCAGGATGAGTAGTAATTTACAAATTGAAACAGGAACATTTTCAAGGTAAGACTGCTCTCATATTCCTGGTAAGTTCGAGGGATTTCTGGAAGTAAAAAGACAAGAAAGTTGAATGCATTTTCCTGTGTCTTCATGAATTTTGTACACCTTGAGACAAGTGGACATCTGGTCGAATATTCTCTTGGTCACAGCAGAGCAATATTAACAATGAATCTGTGTTAGGCTTTCTACTAAGCCCTTCGTATTAATCTAACCACAGGAGAAGGCCAGGAAGCAGTCATTATTACACTTACATGGGGATGGGGGGAGACTTCCGAAGGGCCAGTCACACAGCCAGAATGTAGAATGCAAATTCATTTAAGACTGAAGGGGCTTGCAGTTTCCAACACAATCTGATACTCTGTACATATGTCAGCTCACTCTCTCGCTTGCTCTCATGTAGTACATATGTCAGCTCACTCTCTCGCTTGCTCTCATGTAGTACATATGTCAGCTCACTCTCTCGCTTGCTCTCATGTATTCAATCCAGTTTAAGCAAAGAAAGCCCGTGTCAAGGACAGGGATCTTTTCCCACCGAGCTGTGCTTTCCTCTCCAGGGTTACTTGGCTTTATCAATTTTGAGAACAAGGTGATGGTAAACAGGGCCAGCAATAATACGCATTTTCCTTCTCCTCGTGCTCTGGCATTTAAGACAGTCCAGAAATAGGAAAATATTAAATTCTCTTCACACCATAGTATAGCACGAACAGTAGGAGAATGATTTTTTCTGAGTGGATGCTCTCCCAATAGCACAAGCTGATCTGGCCAAATTCATGACCTTGCATTAACACCGGAACAAGAATGAGAATCCTAAACACACATGATTCCACCATTTTAGTGAAATTTATTCGCATCCCTACGGAATCTCTAATGTGAGTCTAGTGACTTTCACTGAAGAAAGCTGTGACTTCTCAGGAGTTTTGATTTGTTTTTAGCTTTCCAAAGGGCACATGCACTCACCCAGGAGAAAGAGACAGCAACTGAGAAAGCACCCTCCACAGGGAATGGTTACACAATCCCTTCTCCATTTCTACCTCCTGTGGGGATTTGGTGTGTGTGTCTGTGTGTGCACACGCTCACACACGTGTGTGACATACAACCAGCAGCGTGTTGCTTAAGGTGTCAGGTCTGGGACTCAAACTGTCCAACTGGCCATTTGGGATCCAGATGCCCCAACAACCATGACACTGGCTGGCTTTTCACCAGGAAAGAGGGAGAAGGAAAGTGGGAAAGCACCCCTGGGGGACGCGGTCAGGCCAGAGTTGCTTCTCTCCCATTTCGCCCTCCTTTGCACATGCACACCTGCCTGGCTTGTTTCTCAAGCCTCCTGTCAGCCACGTACGAAGCAGCCACCTTAACCACCCCACCACTGCCTGGCCCCTCAGGTGCTTTTCAAAGCAGTTTATTTGCTGTGATTTTCTCACTGTTGCCAGCAGAGAAAGGAAGAAAAGCTGAGAGAAAGAGAACACCAAGCTGCAGACAGTATAACATGAAAGTTACTTGCCAGCACTCATGCCAGCGCTGAGTGGATAATGAGCTCTTTTCATTTTCCTGGGCATGACACCGTGCACGGACTCGCAGCAGAAGCCACAGTCTCTGAAGAGGGCACTCAGATGGCAGGCTGACTGCTCAAGGGGGCTGCGGCCTTATTTCCAGCTTGCCAGGGAGGAGTCCAGGAGCAACTGTGCTCTGCGCTACCCCCCAGGAGTCCCTCCACGTCACCTATCACCCCCTTCACCACCTCTCATGGCTATTTCTTCTCATAAAAGAACGCTTAATATGTATTTTATTTATCTTATTTATTTCTTTTAATTTGACCAGAGAGGGACAGAGTGAGGGAGAGAGAGAGGGAAAAAGAAAGCAAGCCACTATGTCCAAGACTCGAACCACGGTCAGCCCTGTGGGAGTCCAACGCCCTTAGCCACCACACTACCTGCTAGGCCCAGAAAGTTTACTATTTTTTTTTTTTTGAGAGGTTTTTCACTATAGGGTGCGTGTGCTCGCCAGACAGACAGAGAGAGACAGAGACAGAAAGCGAGAAATCACCCCCCAGGGGGGATGGTCATGCTGCAATCCCTTCTCCCTCCATTCTCCTCTCAAGATCTTGGGCACGCAAGCACACGCGCCTGGCGTGAGTTTAAGCCACCGGGTCCGGGACATGAACCACAATCGATTACATGGGAGTCCAGCAACATAGCCATTACGCTAACTGCTGGTTCCCAGAAAGTTTACTATTTTTATCAACAACAAAAATCCAGGTTCTAAGAGAAAGCAACTGAAAACAAATTCATCAAATTTGAGATCTATTTAGGAGGAACTGATCTTTTCATTTTTTCCTCATTATGGCTTTCCCAAGCATCTTCTAAGAACATCTTCTAAGAACCATCCACATGAAATAAAAATAACGTATCTTGAGTACAGTGAGGATTTTACTTAGGCTTCGACTAGACCCAATCAAGAGAGAATTAAGACAAGAATATTAAAAAATAATCTACTCTTAATTCTTCTTGTTCAGTTCCTCCTTTATGCATTACAATGGGCCTGAAGGTGGCCCTACGGGATTCTTACGAACATGGCTGTCTTTCACCCACACAGCCAAATTGCCTTAAGGTATGCTCTGAGAAAATAAACTCCTGGGGCAATTTGAACAAGAGGAAGATGAAACCGGAGCCTGCGAGGGCAGTGGACGCCATTCCTCCAAGAGCCAAAGACGGCAGTGAACGTGTACTCGACCTTGGTCACCAGTGATAACCTAAGTCGGCATGACATGCTGGCCTGGGTCAATGAATCTCTGCAGCTGAATCTGACAAAGACCAGTCGTGCTCAGGAGCAGCTTATTGTCAGTTTATGGACATGCTGTTCCCTGGCTCCATTGCCTTGGAAGTGGAATTCCAAGCAAAGCTAGAACAAGAATATATCCAGAACTTCAAACTACTTACAGGCAGAGGTTTTAAGAGGATGGGTGTTGACAAAATAATTCCTGTGGATAAGTTAGTAAAAGGAAAGTTTCAGGACAATTTTGAATTTGTTCAGTGGTTCAAGAAGCTGTTTGATACAAACTATGATGGATAAGACTATGACTCTGTAGCTGCCAGACAAGGTCAAGAGACTGCAGTGGCTCCCTGCCTTGTTGCTCCAACTCTGAATAAACCGAAGAAACCTCTCATCTCTAGCAGTGCGGCCCCACAGAGGCCCATTTCAACACAGAACTACTGCACCTCCTAAGGCTGGCCCAGGGGTGGTGTGAAAAAATCCTGGTGTGGGAAACAGGGAGGATGAAGCAACCGAACTGATGCAGCAGGTCAATGTGTTGAAACTTACTGTCAAAGACTTGGAGAAAGAGAGAGATTTCTACTTTGGAAAGCCAAGGAACATCGAATTGATCTGCCAGGAGAATGAGGGGGAAAATGACCCTGTGTTACAGCAGATCGTAGACATGCTCTGTGCCACAGAGGAAGGCTTTGTGATAGTGAAGAAGGGAGCCCACAAGAGGAACAAGAAGAGTATTAACAGCCTGGACCAGCAGAGGCACATCTGAATTCTTCACTCCAAACCATGTGCTTAACTGTAAAATACTCCCTTTTATTATTCTTTGAGGACTCATTGGTTTCTTTACATAAGCAAAAAGTACCTCTTCTTAAAGTGCAGTTGGCGGAATTTTCACTCCTTTTCCACCAAGTTTGAGTTAGGGCAGTATTAACATCTAGCTGGTTCACCCGAAGAACAGAGGCTGACCACGGGTTTCCCATGTGGATGCTGATCTCACTGAGGCTGGAGAAGGGGTTAAAGCAATTAGCTGACGTGGTGACCTCAGTAGAGAAATGTAAAGACTGAATTGAATTTTAAACTAATGTGAAGTTTTGGCAGAGAACGTTTTAATAAATAAATGCCTCAAGAGTATTTAAAATATGCTTCCATATTTGAAAATGGGAAATATAACATAACAGGAGTTTTTATGTATTTGACATTGAGTCTTTGAAGGAGGAGCCAGACCTGGGAACCTCTGGAAGCTGCTGTGGCAGGCCTTACAGGACCGCTGGAATCTTCTCAGGCCTGCGCTTTGGCCCAAAGAGAAAATTTTAAGTTTCCCTGTGAAGCCATTTGGTGTCATTGACCAGTATAGCAGCCTGCTGAAAAGCATGAGGCATTGTTGCCTAGACGAACAGGTGTGTTTCAGCCTTGAATTGAAGAGCTCGATTTTCACTGAGCATGTATCTGACAATTTTTCCAACTATCCCTGAAATTTCTACATATTGTGTTTACTAAGGAAGTGAGGTAAGTCCAGATTTCTAATCTAGCAACTACTTTTAGGGACTTGCCCATATCTCTGGGATTTGAATGGGGGTTTTGTCCCATTATACTGTCCCTTCAGTTTACATTTAATGGGTTTCTCTTCTCTGTTCCCCTGGCCCAATGGAAACTCCTCTTTGGCTCCTTAACGTTTCCTGCTTAGAACTGGAAGTTCGGCTGGTGGTGATCATGCTGCACATTCTTTCTGGTGATCAGTGAAGGCCCTTGTTACCTTGGGATGTGCGAGACTTGGGTATCTGGTACCTGCTGTCCACAGCTCTCCACTGTTATCTGAATACTTTGCCAGTGCACTAATCTCTTTGAGATAAAACTCATTAGTGTGTTAATAAATGTTCATTTTCTTTTGCAGAAAATAAAGTATAATGTCTAAATTAATTATTAATATTTCAAATATTTCATTCCTTAACTCTCCCTCAACTGCTTTGCCCTTGGCCTGTTCAGTTCCTTAGTTTGGGAGAATGTGTGTTACCAGCTACTAAGATCGTTCAGCTCCTGGATGTATTTGTATTTACTTGTTTCTGGTGGTAGCTTATCCTAAAATATATAGAGAGAGCAGGTATTTTATGATAAAATTGCTGTGTAGTGCATGCTTTGTGTGGAATTCAGAGGAAACCCAGATTCAGTGATTAACAATGCCAAAATATGCAAGTAAATAGCCATTGTTCAAATGACAGTGGTGCTATTTCTCTTTTGTGGCCTTCTAGACTTTTGTTGTCCCTAAATTACGTTTCACTGAGAATCCATTTTCCACCTGGTCTTTCTTGACAGGGATTTTTTCCACTTTAAACAGTTCCTAGGTAAAAATTCTGTATTTCAAGAGAGAAAAAAAAGAAAGAAAGAAAGAAAGAAAATAAACTCCTTGGGAGAGGGTCTAAATGGATGGGAACACTGGTGGGCACACGTGCGCAGGCTCACGGCGACGGCTGAGCTAACTTACCCATCTTTGTAATCCAGGCAGATATCTTTTCATAAAAGAAGTTCAAGATCAAGATGATGATAAAATTCAGACACGAGCCTGTGAGTGCTGTGGTTATCTGGGGAGTGAGGAAACTTTTGACACGCTTTAAGGATGCTTCCGTTTCCATGAAGCTAGCAAACGTAGCAAAGACTGACAGGCGGTAGACGATTACAGATACCATGCTGGCCACGACAAGAGTCATCTGGAGGAGGGAGAGGAAGAATCGGTCACTCTGGTACCTGTTTCCCTGTGGTGCATGCATACCTGAAACACCCACTACTCTCTTCATGTTCTATATTGAGTTTAGCATGTGCAGAGCAAGCTAGGTCGGCCTCTCTTACCAAAGCTGAGAGGAAATGAACCCTGCCGAGGTAGACGTGTTAGCGATGGAGAGACCGTAGCAATAGGTTAAGTCTAATGCAAAAGCATGTATTGCCTATTCTCTAGGCTCCTCTTGCAGGCTTGGCAAATGACAGAGCCAGAAGGCCAAAACCTATCCATGGCCTTGTTTGTTCTTATATGGCCTTTAAGCTAAGAATGTGGGTTTTTTTTTTTTGTTTTTTTTTTTTAATTTTGGAAGTTATGAAGAAAAATAGAAACAAATGCGTGCCAGAGACTCTAAGACTATAAAGCCTAAACTACAAGGGGACTTTGAAGGGTTCACGGAAAAATGGAATTAAAGCATGAGTTTATTTTGGTGCACAAGAATTTTGAAATCCATTTTTTTTTTCTCAAGATACACCTTTTCCGTGAACTTTGTGAAGCCCCCTAGCTTATTTGAACAATTAAAAGAAAAAGTTTGCCACCCATGCTCTAGATTGTAGGTGAACGTGTGTTATGGAGATTATTTACTTTCCCAAGAAAAATATATTTAAAGATTCTATTTCACTTCCCCTCAAACAAGTGCTGCTGTTAGTGGACTGATAGGCTCAGTAGTTGAAATATTTATATAGATTTTGTGAAAATTGTGTGCACTGACCATATTGCCCAAGTATAAAGATTTTAATCAATGATTACTGAATTTTATTCTAAAATTTGAGGAAGTAAGTCGAATTGAATGAGAACTAGAAATTACAAATAGAATGATCTTTCTGGAACCATCGTCCAGAAAGTTTCTTAAGGAATGTTCCGAATTGGTCATCATCCCCTTTTATTCTATCACATCTCAAGGATTTTATATCATTCAAGAGAACACATTCCTCCTAGCTCTCTGGAAATAGAAAATCGGTAGCTTTAACAAGAAATGTTGAAGATAAAAACATGGGATATATGAACAGATACAGCTGAACTAGTCTGTAACTGCTACTATTATTTGTGAAGATTATTTCTTTTGAGAGAGACAGAGATCCCCAATAGGGTTTCATGAAATGATAATGGCTTTCAAATAAATGCTCACCCAAAATGTCACCGTGGCTCCAGATAGAAGATACCATGGAACACGAGCATACAGAGGCATGTGAGGCTCCATCTCCTGTAATGTTAAAGAAATCACAAAAAATTTAAAATATGCCCTCGAAGTTGGGCCTCCAAGCAGTAACCCAAAGCCCAGTTAAAGTGCAAATATCCTTATAACGCCACCAATAGCTCATGGAAGGCTATATCCTCACAGCGAGCCTCCCTCAAAATGAAATCTTCCGGCCTCCTAGGTGAGATATTTTCCACATATGACACATAATGGACACATGCTATTTCCAGAGTGCTGCATTAGTGTGGTCTTCCAGGTGGCTGGACAGGAAACAAAGACCCGAGGACTGGTTGCTGCTTAAATGGCATGCTTGAATGATGTTCCAGTTTCACACTAATCACATTGAATTGCATTGTACTGCTCTGTAATTGCTCTACATGATAATAAATTGCATGAGTTCTTAATATGTATAGGGAAAACTGTTTTGTGTAGTGTGGAGGCTCAGCCTTTTCTATCTTCAGGTTTTAAAGACTGCCATACAGTCAAAAATAGCATCAGCAGAAATCTAAATCATGTAATTCTAGAAGCTATGATTTCATGTTTTATTCATTTTCAGGTGGACTGAATGTAAACAGAATTGTCAATGGGCAGAGTACGCTGTTCAAGGGCTCTGCAGAACTTCTGGATGTGTGCATATGTGTGATCAGGTACACGTCTCCATGTCTTATGTATGTTTGTCCGTACATATGTATGCACAGTTGCATGTGCACACGTGTGCATCTATGCATGTGTGTGTTTCCAATGTAAACTCAAATGTGAGAGAATTCTGGTTATACTTAAACACCAAAGGAGCGTAGTAAGTTAAAAAAAAACAACTTCCAGATACTTCAAAACCATTAAGACAAAGTAAGGTGAAGTGGATGATTCATCGTGAATCAATGTTTTGCTTTTCAACTGGTTTCAAATGTAAATATTCAATACTTTTTTTTCTGCTAATGCTTGGCAAAACCAATAGGCCTGCTTTTGTTTACTTTTCTTATATCATGAAATAGAAATGGATAAGAAAAATCATGTTACTTTTTTGTCAATATCTTTTAAAATATGTTCTTAATTTCAAACTGCTACCCAAATTGTTGATGTATTAGGTCGTCAGAAAAGTCACGATGCATTTTTGCATAGAAACAATACTTCATGACTTTTTCCAATGACCCAATATTTTCTGTGATGTTATGCTTTTTCTCCTTTATTTACCTACTGAAATTTTTGTGACATTTTACCACACAATTCAATGTATCTTTGGTGCACACTGGAACTGTGGAAAGAAGTTTGAACATTATTCTGCAAAAAGAATGTCCTGAGTGCAGTGAGGAATTCTGCTGGAGACCAGGCCAAGACATATTCTGTTCTCCTTTCAATAGCAGCAGCTAACACAGTCATTACAGGTTATGGGAAAATAGGGGTGCTAAGAATATATAGCCAGGATTTTTGTCTTGGGAGGCAAAGTGACTTCCATTTGCACTTGAAAGAATGTGAGGTATCAAGAAGTCAACTGACTAGGAACCAGCAGTTAGTGTAATGGCTATGTCGCTGGACTCCCATGTAGTAGACTGTGGTTCGAGTCCCGGACCTGGAGTCTTAAACACGCTGGGTGCGTGTGCGTGCGTGCCCAAGATCCCGAGAGAAGAATGGAGGAGAAAGGATTGCGGCATGGCCATCCCCCCTGGGGGGCGGTGATTTCTTGCTTTCTGTCTTTCTGGCAAGCACACACGCCCTACAGCAAAAACCTCTCCAAAAAAAAAAAAAAAAACAAGTCAACTGACTCCATCAAGAAATATAGCAAATTAGTCAGTTAAGGATTTTAAAATCTAGAAGTCTCCCTCAGACACCAATGCAATGACCTTTTCACTACAATCCATTGAAAGGACTATGTGCAGAAAACTTGATCTAATAAAACAATCCACCCACATGCCCATTATCTTAATACAACTATTTTAATTCTTCCGTATTAACTTAGGACTACGTTCAGGTCTAAATGTTTACATTAAATCGCACAACATACGTACTGTTTCACATTTTCCTTTTTAAAAGTTAGTATTAAAACTACACATTTCATGTTATGACACCTTGAATTTGCTTCAAAATAATCTAGTAGGCAGAGAAGGGTAGGTACATAAATAAAACAAGATTGTCCATAAACTAAAGATGGTGACAGCTGGGTGACAGGCCCATCCATGAGTTCAATCTACTTTTCTGTCTGCTTTGTATAAGTTTGAAATTGTTCATACACACATATCTGACCGTATGAATGTATATTAGAAATATATATTCTATAAGTGTACACATTAGAATGAAATAATGAAGCTTATATGGTTCACATGTTGGAGAATATCTTAAGGGCCAGTTAAAATACACATTCTGAAAGGGTCAGCCAGTAGTGTGCTGTTTGAGCTGGGCCACCCACGTCACGGTTTCATGACCTACCTTTGTCACTACGTTCCTCTTCCTGTGCTTACACATCGCTTCAAACTCGGGCCTCAGCTGCAGCTGCTGCTGTTCCTCTTCAAAGTCCACCATGTCCCATTCGTACTCCAGTCTGGCTTCTCGCTGTTTCCAAAACTCCAAAAATAATGTGACTGTTGGCAAGAAATGTATAAAGACAAGCATGACCAAGTGATGGAGAAATAAGTTATTAATATGAGTAATTATCAGTAAGAAGAAAATAACTGTTTTTCCCTTTCTTTTTTTCTTTCATTCTATTTTTTTTTTAGAGAAGTTTTTGCTACAGGGTATGTGTGCTTGCCAGAAAGACAGCAACAAATCACCCTCCCAGGAAGGATGGTCATGCTGCAATCCTTTCTCCTCCATTCTCCTCTTGAGATTTTGGGCACACACACACACACACACATCTCCTCCATTCTCCTCTTGGGATCTTGGGTCACACCCACACACACCCCGCCTGAGTTTTAAGCCACCAGGTCTGGGATTCAAACCAGTCGACCATGTGGGAGTCCAGTGATGTAACCATTTGGCCATTTGCTGGTCCCCCATTTCTTTCTTTAATCACTTTTATGATAGTTCATTTTTCATAGTGGTTCATTTTTTTTTTCAGGTAGGTATCATGTCACTATTTTGTTTGATAAATAAAGTTACCAATGGTTACGCTTGGCATAATAATGTATAATTGCACTGAAATACCTCCTATATAAAAATTCAAGTTAATACTTCAGACAGTGGTCCAGGCAAGTAATTTATTTTAGGCATATTACTCTGTCTTCATTCAGATCATTTAAAGTAATATTTACACTTAACCTTTGCATGTGTCTCTTACTGCAATCATTTGACTCATTGTACCACTTCTTTGGGCTTAGGAAACTGTAACCTATGAAGGATATTTAAGGAAAAAGAGAAAACCTAAGAGCTATTCCCCAGCACAATTTCTTTCTCTCTCTCTTTACACACACACACATATACAGTTGAAGTTTAAATATATATGACAAGAAACACTTATGTTTTATATATTTTTCTGTAAATATGCTAAAACTTTGTATTTTGAAACATCAGGAAGTTTAAAACTTCAATTTACAATTGAATAACATATTTACAGAAAAGTACATATAAGTCAGACAATTTGCACAAAACAGACATACCCATGCAATCAGCACTAGTGAAAATAAACATATGTGACCAGCATACCAAAAACTTCCCTTTGGACTCTTCTAAGACAAAAATAACTAGTACCCACTGTCTCATATTGCAGTACCAGGCTAGTTCTGCCGGTCTCTGCCCTTGCATAAAAGGTACCATACAACTGAGAGTTTGTGTTTCAAGCTCTTTCTTTATTCTTTTTGGTTCACCTTTGTTGCTTGGTGTACCAAACATGCCTTATTTTCTTTGCTGGATAATATTCTATTGTATGATTAAACCATAATTTTATTAATCTATTCTTGGGTTGATGAACATTTGAAGTTTCCAGATTGTTGCTATTAGAAGCAGTACTTTGGTAAATATTCTTGTGCTTGATTTTTGGTGGCCCTATGCATGCCTTTTTTCTTTCTTTCTTTTTTTTTTTTTTTTAAGAGGTGTTTGTCTTAGGGCCTATGCACTTGCTGGAGAGAGAGACAGAGACAGTGAGAAGGAAAGTGAGAAATCACCGCCCTGCGGTGGGGATGGCCAATGCTACAGTCCCTACTCCTCCATTCTCCACCTGGGATCTTGAGGACACATGCACATGTGCCTGGTGTGAGTTTCAAGACATGGGGTCCAAGACTCAAACCGCGGTTGGCCATGCTGGAGTCCAGTGATGTAACCATTACACTATCTGATGGCCCCAATATACGTTTCTTTCTATTGAGCCTACATCTGGGAGTAGAATACTACCATAATCAATATTATCATAATTACATTGTCTATGAAAGATTTCTGCTATAGGGCACATGCACTACAAAGAGACAGAAAAAGAAAAAGTGAGAAATTACCCCCCTGGGGGGATGGCAATGTCGCAGTCCCTTCGCCATTCTTCTCTTGGGATTTTGGGCACACACACACACATGCACACACACACACATGCCTGGCATTGAGTTTCAAGCTGCTGGGTCTGAGACTCAAACTGTAGTTGACCATGTGGGAGTCCAGTACTCCAACCACTATGCTATCTGCTGGTCCCAAAAGATTCACTTTTAAAAGTTTCTTCTGACTCACTCTTTCTACCTGGTAAGTAATTCTAAGGAAGGAAGAATTCTATTTGTACCATTTTTAAACTCTTAATCATATAGCCATCTAACTGCTCTGTTTCCAATGTATATCCCTCCCAGGGTCAATATATCCATCACCTGATTGCTAGTCTTTTGTCTGTTTATTCATTCATGTATACATGTGTTTATGTGTTCTTCCGCTTATTAAAATGAACAAAATATCTTTTATTGCAGTAAAAACCCTTACCATGAGATTTATTTTCTTAATAAATTTTTAGATATTCAGTGCAGTACTGACTATAGATACAATGGTGTATAGCTCTCTAGAGTTGATTTATCTTGCTTACTGCAACTGTTTGCCCACTGATTAGTAACTCGCTATTTTATAAACTCCCAGCTCATGGCAACCAGCATTCCACTCTGCTTTCATGGATTTGACTATCTTAGATATTTCATAGTAGTAGAATACTGTAGTATCTCTCTCTCTCTTTTTGGGGGGAGAGATTTTAGCTAAAGGGCATGTGCGCTTGCTAGAGAGACAAAGACAGAGAGACAGAAAGCAAGAAATCACCCCCAGAAAGGATGGCCACATCATAATCTCTTCTCAGGATTTTGGGCATGCACACACATGTTTCCGGCATGAGTTTCAAGCTACCAGGTGCAGGACTCAAACTGCAGTTGGCCATGTGGGGAGTCCAGCACCTTAACCATGCATGCCACCTGCTGGACAGTATTTCTCTTTCTGCAACTGTTTATTCACTGAGTATAGTGTCCTCAAGTTCTGTCCACATTGTCATGTTTGTTGGATTTTTCTATTATTATTTTTTTTCTTTTTTGTAGAGGTTTTTGCTGTAGGATGTGTGCCAGACAGACAGAAGACAGAGAGACAGAAAGTGAGAAATCATCCCCCACCACCACCACCAGGGGATGGCCACACTACAATCCCTTCTCCTCCATTCTCCTCTCGGGATCTTGGGCACACTTGCACACATGCCCGGTGTGAGTTTAAGCCACCGGGTCTGGGACTCAAACCATAGCCAACTATACGAGAGTATAACAACACAGCCATTACACCTACTGCCAGTCCTGGATTTTCTTCTTTTTAAAGGCTGAATAGTAGTTCATTGTAAGTCCATTCCATAATGGCTTTCTTTCTTTTTTTTTTTAGACTTTTCAGTCCACAAATCATTACATAAGCAAAATATGTGTGCATCATGATTACTGACTAATTACATTGCCTATTTTTAAAGTTTATTGATTATTGTTTACTTATCTCTGCTATTCAGTTTATGCACATAAAGAAAAGCAGGTACTTGTGCTATCTTCTCGCATGCTTGTGGTAAATTCATATAATAATATACAAAAATGCATAATCAGAATAGAAAATGAGCCAACCAACACGAAAGTGAAATAAAGAAATAAATGGTGATAAGACTGGATGTGGAATTCAGATCACATCCAAGTGGAGTTTCAGAAGTCGTTGAGTGTGAGAATGCTGATACTCTTCCCATAAAGAGACTCTGTCTATATAGTCGGAGCAGCTTGGGGGAGGTGAACTTACTGACATAACTGAGAAGAGCAGTTGTGAAGAAAAGGATGACGATGTCCTAGAGGAAATGATGTCAACAGAAACTTCAGCTAAACATTACACTGAAAGCACAGAGAACAACCATTGGAAGCTAATCCTCAAACCAGACTGTTACACACTCCCTCAGCACTTAAAATGCACGGCTAAGAAAGCGGGCTTTGGATTCCATCCCAAAGTAGACTGCAACATTCTTTCCTCATGACAGGTTATATTTATTTCACTCATTTACTTATTCATTATTTTATTCATTTTATACAATATTGTGACTTTCACGAGGCAAGAACTTTTGCTCTAGTCGTCTCTTTATTCCTGCAGGCAGTAAATGCATTATTAACTGTGAGAACAAACGTTCAAGAGTTTGGTACCACTAACATTTTAATATTTGTTTACAGTGTAAAGGGACAACTATCATAAATTTTCAAAGTCAAATTTGTTACCATGGTTATGCAATAGTTTGTATATTCTACATATATTTCTAAAACTTTTGTCAAAAAATTTTCTGGGGGGGACCAGCAGTTAGCATAATAGTTATGTCGCTGGACTCCCATGTAGTCAACCGTGGGTTCAGGCCCCGGTGGCCTAAACTCACACCGGGCATGTGTGCGTGCGTGCCCAAGATCCCAAGAGGAAAACGGAGGAGAAGGGATTGCGGCGTGGCCATTCCCCCTGGGGGGTGATTTCTTGATTTCTGTCTCTCTTTTTCTTTCTTTCTGATGAGTGTTTGAGCCCTATAGCAAAAACCTCTCCAAAAATAAAAAAAAGAAAAAAAAATTTTATGAGAATCTTTACTCACCCCAAATTCCCATGAATATTGCAAAGAACACCGTTGACTCATTATCAAATAAGTGGGAAAACTGTAAAAATAACAACAAGGTCACAAAGACCACTTAGTATCAAATGAATAGACTGAGGGAAATTCCAAGTCTTTTCAACACACAGGCATACATACCTTTGCAGCCAAACATGTACTATTCAGTCTCCAAAAATCACACACTAGGTCACATAGTGGGCACATGATCATCTGACCTCCAATCTTAGGGTCACACGTTTCAATGCTGCAGGGGGAACAGCCCAGTTATTACCGAGGTGGGTTGGCTGAAAGTTCAAGCTAGAGCAACAGCTTATACAGCTTTGCCCAGGTAACAGAAGGGGCCAGGAAGCAGCCATTTCTGCAATGGCCCAGTCAGGCCTTGATGAACAGACTCTTCGGATTTTCCGTATAGTGCCAGGGGAGGGGTAGCTGCTACGGTTAGGTCTTTTTCAGAGATACCAATTACTGCTGCCGTAAGGGAACTTCCTCAGCAAATGGCAAGGAACCAGCAAGCCTTCTGCGCCTACCTGCCTGTGCTGCTCTCCATGGATAACAGGCCATAAATAAAACAAGCCAGGCCGACTACAGCTGCAACAAACAGCATTTCTGTGTAAAATCCCAGGAAGACAAAATAGATACCAATTTTTTCTCCATAATAATCCCTGTGAAAGAGAGTAAAAATAGAATGAAATGTCGAAGAAAGTTACTGTCCACACAACTTTGGTTTTATATTTAGGCAAACATGTCTTCAAATTCGGGCTCATTGGCATTCCAGCCATGTAAAATGACTCAGTTGTCTCCACTTCAGTTTCCACTTCATAAAACACAGGGCAGAGCTTATTGCACAGTATTAGAATTAGTGTAAATATTAAAAGAGAGGGGCCAGGAGATGGAGTGGTAAAGCATTGGACTCCCACATAGCCAACCACGGTTCAAGTCCTGGACCTGGCAGCTTGCTTTCTCACTCTCTCTCTGGTGAATGCACATGCCCTATAATAAATTAAAAAATAGAAATAATAAATTAAATAATTCTTAAAAAAAAAAAGATTAAAAAGGGGCCAACAGATGGCATAGCATTTACATTGCTGGACTCTCGCCTTGTCAACTGGGGTTCAAGTCCCAGACCTGGCTGCTCAAAACTCACACTGGGTATGTCTGCATGAGTGCCCAAGATCCTAGGAGGAAAATGAAGGAGAAGGAATTGCAGCGTGGCCATTCCCCCTGGAGGGTGACTTCTCACTTTTCCTGTCACTGTCTCTGTCTCTTTCTCTCTCCAGCAAGTGCATGTGCCCTAAGGCAAAGACTTCTTAAAAAAAAAAAAAGATTAAAAAAGAACATACATATAACCAGCAAGCCAACTGAATAAAATTTAATTTTAAATAATAATATAATTCAAAGAAATTCTACATTTTAAAAGGGTTTATATGTTTTTGAAATACACTGCAGGGTATTATGCAACATAACTTCTACTTCTGGCAATTAGCAAAACAAACCCACATTCGTAATATGTATAGACATTTGCTTCACAATTCTCTAAACTAAAAAAAGTAATCTGACCATACTGAAGGGGTACATTTCCACCTTCCTCCAAGTTTAGATTCTGACAAGAGCTTATAGTACTGGTAGCAAATCAAGAAGTAAAAAATATAAGTCCATAAAGTATGAATTCAACTCTTTCATTACAGAGTTGAAAACTGATAGCATTGGGGCCATCAGGTGGTGCAGTGGTCATGGCGCTGGACTTCGAAATGGCTAATAGTGGTTCGAGTCCCAGACCTGGTAGACTGCTTTCTCTTTCTCTCTCTCTTTCTCTTTCTCTCTCTCATCAAACTGAATAATAACAGCAATAAATAAAGGGAATAATTCTTTAAAAAAAGAAAAAGGAAAGTGATCGCATTACTTGGAATAAATATCTAAGTCCCAGAAACAAGTTTTGGGCTTTTTGTTTTATTTTAACGTTATTCCCCTTCAGGAACCAGGTAACACAGCTTTCTCTGCCTCAGAAAACGAGGTTTTGCTGTGTTTTTTGTTTTTATTTTTTGTAACCAGGTAAATATTCTTTCTTACTCATTTCCACTCCCTGGGTGAAGAGTTCGTGGAAAAACAAAATTAAAATCTGAGTTTAATTTGGGGAAGAAAGAAATTTCTTTTAGGCTTTTGCCATAAGGAGCAAGTGCATGCCAGAGAGAGTCAGAGACAGAGTCAGAGACAGACAGAGAGACGGCAAGTGATAAATTACTCCCCAGGGACATAGACATGCTATAATCCCTTCTCCATTCTTCTCTTCGGATTTTGGGTATGCACATACACACCGCCAGCGTGATTTTAACACTGTTGGGTCCAGAACTCGAACTGCAGATGGCCATGTGGGAATCCAGTGCCTTATTCACCACATCACCTATTGGCTCCCCCAAAATTGTGAAATCTATGCGTAATTTTTTTGTAATATGTATTTTCCCCTATGTAGAGCCCAGTTTACCAAATCTGTGAGAGTTTCCAGTTTCCTCCACAGAAAGATGTGATCTCTTACAGATTTAACTACCACGTTATGTATTTCTATGAAAGCACTTAGTATAAATTATAATTTGAATACATACTAAAAAAATGCAATGCTTAATATCAAGGTTAGAAACTTAATTTCCCAGGGGTAGGTATTATAAAAAGGAAAAAAAATAATCTTATTACAATGAAAAATTTAAAAATGAAAATGTTATTTCATTAGAACTCTAGGCCTAGGGACCAGCAGTTGGCAGATGACTATGTCGCTGGAGTCTCATGTAGTCAACAGCGGTTGGAATCCTGGACCCGGTGGCTTAAACTCATGCCAGGTGCATGTGCGTGTCTGCCCAAGATCTTGAGAGGAGAATGGAGGAGAAGGGATTGTGGCGTGGCCATCCCCCCAAGGGGGAGATTTCTCACTTCCTGTCTCTCTTTCTTTTTGGTACCTTGTAGCAAAAATCTTCCCCCCCCAAAATTAATTAAAAAAAGAATTCTAGACCTGTATTATTATTTCTCATCTTTAATATTAATTTTATCAAAACTTCCATCCTTCAGTTTTCAGAATTCTTTTTTAGTTAAACAAGCATTTTTCTTTTGTACTATCTTCTTTTATTCTTTTTATTTTTTTGAGAGGTTTTTGCTATAGGGCACGTGCGCTCGCCAGACAGAGACAGAGAGACAGAAAGCGAGAAATCACCCCCCAGGGGGGATGGCCACACCACAATCCCTTTCCTCCATTCTCCTCTCGGGATCTTGGGCATGCACGCACACGCACCTGGCATGAGTTTCAAGCCACCGGGTCCGGGATGCGAACCACGGTTGACTACGTGGGAGTCCAGCGACATAGCCATTACGCCAACTGCTGGTCCCCTTTTATTCTTTTTGATAACAGCAAACATTTTTGCATTATTTTGTCTTATTCCTTCCTAATTAGTATAAACAAATTATGATGCTACCCATTTCCTTGTTAATCTGCTATCCACAGCTTCCTTGGTTCATCACATTTAGGGTGAATGAACTTGCTTTGTCCCAGTGTTTTACAAAACAAACAAGTGATTACTATAATACTGCTTAATATTAAACTCGGAAGAAAAGTATAAAAATAATTTACTTTATGAAATTTGCTAGTCACCACATCTATTTCCATGTGCTGTTTTAAAAATAATAGAATCAACTTAATAAGGCAGAACATCAGTATTACTGCTCTAGACCTAGTTTAAGCTTTTTTCAGGAATTCATAAAGAATGAATTCAACAACCTTATATTTAAAGGATTACTTGTTTTTCCCTTTGAAGCATCAAGAATCTTATTCTATGAAAATTTCAAAAACAAAAAGCTTATTAGAACTCTAGACCTATACTTGTTATTAAAAATACTCTCAAAAAGAGAAATTGCTCAAATCAGATGAACATTTACATGAAAGTGTAGAAATTATTTTACCAAAGTTTGGAATAAGGAAATTTAATAGGAATAGGATAACAACTAGTCCAGATTTTAGGAGTGTAAAAAGCAAGAGATATATCTTAGATGTTTATTATAGTAAAAATGTATAGATTATTGAAATAACATTTAAGATGTGAAATTAAATATTTTATTATGCAAGAATACTGAACACATGTTGGGACATGATAATTCATAGCACTAGTCATGTGATCTGAACATGAGCAATTCTGGAAGTGGTAGCTCCAGAGAAGTAGTATTTCCAGGGAAGAGGAAACAGATTGTGTGTGTGTGTGTGTGTGTGTGTGTGTGTGTATATATACACATACACACACACACAAGCATATAAATAGATGCACTAATGTATACACACACACATACTTATAGATAAATAAATAGTAGTACTCCTTGGAGGTGTGAGAGTAAAGAGGAAAAAAAGACAGGTAGCACAGTTACAATCGTACAGAAACAAAAGCAAGCACAGGCCAAGGACCATCCTCATCCATAAACTGCACCGCAGAGAAAAGAACTAACAGAAGAGGGCGCTCTAGTGCTAGAAATTCTGTCCATGAATTGAAACACGAAGACCACAACCATATAAAGCCGCACAAAACAGAAACAGAAAATGTGCAACAAATCATCTCAGGTGATAAAAACTCTTCCAAAAGAATTAAACATTGAAAAACACTGGCATAAAAAACTACAAACTGAATCAAATACCCTCATATAAACATTTGTAGATATGAGAAAATACCAGACACATAAGAACTAAGAAAAAAATATGGAAAAAGAAAACAAACAAAACAAAATAAAAACAGTTGACTGTATTCTAGAAAGAAAGAAATAAAAATGACAAATCATGTTATATCATATCGAAGATTATACTAAAATTACCAGGTATTTAAGAAAGAAGTAGGTAAAAACTAACAAAAGATAGTAAGAAAAACAGAAAACCGACCAAAGAATGAAAATGAGATAGAAAAGTAAAAAGAGGAAGGACCAGCAGGTGGCATAGTGGCTAAGGCCCTGGACTCTGGACACTTAAGATGTGAAATTAAATATGCATTAAAATCATTTTCATGACATGCACAGTGTTGAACTCATCAAGCACCAGTAATCAAAGGAAGAACACTGCCAGAGCCAGCAGGTGGCAAAGTGGTTAAGGTGCTGAATTCCCACACAGCTGACCACAGTTCAAGTCCTTTTTCAGACCTGGCATCCTGAAAATTATGCCAGGAATGTGTGTCTGTGTACACAGGCGCCCCTCAGGAGGAGAGTGGAGAAGAGACTGCAGTGTGGTCATCTCTCCTGTGGGGGATTTCTCACTTTCCTTCTCACTGTCTCTCTCTTTCTATCTCCCTTCCTCCCTCTTCTACAAGTGCATGTACCCTGTGGGAAAAAAAAAATAATACTGCTTGTTTTAGCCAGGGGTCTGCCATCTGGCTGTTCTACTGAAATCATAGCCAGAGTCCGCTAACAACCTGTATGCAGGTAGTTATTGCTGTGTTCAAAGCAAGAACCTGTAGCCAATTTTCTTGCTTAACTAAGGAAACTGTCTAAAAAATTGTGCTCATAGGAAAAATGGCTTCATGGCTTTCTGAGATCAACACCTAAATAAATGTCCATACACAACCTTTGTCCTATCTTCTAAATTCTTGTACCCTGGGAAAGAACCAAACTAATATGTATTAAGCACTAAGTACGAGCCCCTAGGTAAAAACAAACAAATAAACAAAACAAAACAAAACAAAATAAAAACAAAACCTCCTTGAATTATCAAATGATCCCATATGGAAAGAAAAATTGTTATTCCACTTTACAGATGAGCCAAATAGTGGTTAAGTAACATGACCATGTTTATATAACTTTCAAAGTTCAGCCTTGCAAAATGCCAAGGCCTGCCCTCTTAGCCACTGGGCTATCTCTACTGTCTCCCATAGATTTAGCAACCACCTTGTGCCCCCTAATGAATTAGAAGCTGATAGTGTGGATACCAAAGATTGTGACAGAGAGTGAATGCAATAGTTAATAACAAATAGAATATGATGTCACTGTGAATAAAAATCACACCACCAAGTTTTAATTGGTCTAATAGATTATAAACAAAAAACAAGACTTACTTAATCAAGTCTAAAGGCTGCTCCTTATAAAAATAGGAAAACCGAGCCCAATGTTGATGAAGTATATACCTTGCATTGGGAGGGTTGGGAGGTTCTGATGGCCTCCAATACTGGCCCTGCAGATATTCAAGAAGACGGTACGTGAAGGACATAGCGAAAAGCAAGGGTGAAGTAAATGAATGCTTTTAACAGAAGATTTGTGAACGAAGCTAGCGTTCTTTTATACTTGAGATTCAGATTTCATATCATACTGATGTCAAATTATTTACTAAAATCTTTAAGAAACTATCATAATAGCCATTTATTTAATACATTGTCACTTCCAGTTATGTAAAAATACAAGCTAAAGATCAATACTTTGGCTTTTCTCAAGCTGTTCCTCTCTGGAAGGCCCTTTTATCTCTATTCAGATCTATTACAATAGCCATAGCTTATCTAACTCATCAGAACTTTGAAATAGGCTACGACTTTTATAGATGAGCAAATTAAACCCCAAGCAAAGTTAAGTGACTGATTCAAAGTCAAAGTGCCATGAATGGAAGTTTCCTGTCCTGTCTTCTCTGGCCATCATCGATAGCATTTCCTCAAGAACTTAACACGGAGTGTCAATGCTTCATGCATAAGATCTTCCTCCATTGTTAATAATCCTCCACAGTCCAGTAAGGTACTAGCTACACAGTAGCTATTTAATATACTTTTTTACTATTTTCAGGGAAAAGTTAACTGCTGAAGCCAACACTTAGCAGTTTAAACTTAGGTCATGTGAAATCTTCGTATGATCAGGAGTAAGATTTTCTATCAATCACATTCTAACTTTTTCCTTCTGTAGGTAATCCTAGTGAACTCTGACAAAGAAAACAGCCAACTGTGGCAGTTTGTCAAATGATACTGTAAAGTACCTAAGGTAAAACCTAGTACGTCCACTTGCATTTAGAATAAAAGAAAGGGGGGGGGGAGCCAAATTAACAGTACGTTACAACTATCTCCGTGACAGTGCAGTAACACTGGATTTCCAGAGCACACAAATGACTCCACTAAAAGGTTAAGTATATAGTTTAAAGTTCTGGTAAATATTAGCTTGGCTTTATGACATAGCATAGTAAGAAAAAATAAATGAATGGCATTAAAATCAAATAAATAAGAAATCTTCCAAAAAAGAAATGAGCCCTTTTGTAAAGATGGATTGGCAAAAAACAGCATCACAGTGTTTATTAACCTATTTTGGATCTTTTGACTTTACCAAATGTCCATGGAATTACTTAGAATCCAGAATCCCCTAAGGATATTTTGCTCTAGAGGGAAAAACTATTGTGTATGTGGAGAGGGGTGTGGGGAGGGAAGTTGGTTGGTTTCTTGAACGCTTAGGTTAAATGTACCTGAAGTGACAATCCTATTGAAAAGTGCCACTTCTTATCCAGCCTCACAGCAAACACATCAAAAGTAACAAACTCAACCTGCTGATCTCGGCTTGGAATCAAGTTCTCAGAACAGGTAGTCTCTGGGGCTTTTCCAATCATGAGAGAATATGCAGTTATCTGTACTAAAAAGGGAGGACAATGGGAAGCATCTCTCTCCTGTCACAGCAACCTCTAAATGTGGGAGATGAACACTAGTAGCAGTATTTCAAACTCAAACCTATACTCACATCATGGAGTGGGTAGGCAGATGAATAGGCATTAGAATTCAGCAGTCGTTCAATCCCAAACCTTTTCTTCCCATCTTCTATGCCAAAAGGACATCGTGAGAGAATATAGTATACCTACAAGATAAAAACAGAGAAACTCACGCATCAGAACATTTTGCTTTCTACAGCTTTCATTGGCAAATTAATGATGTCCACTTAGCCTGAAAGTAAACACAGGCACTGACTGTAAAAGGAATGCTCCTGTTGTTTGATTCACCCCCAGAGCTCATGCACTCACTGGAGAGACAGAGATAAGGAAATCACTCTCCCCCATCCCTCCCTTAAGTGGGGATGGCCATGCCACAATCCCCTCTCCTCCATTCTCCTCTCAGGATTTTGGGCACGTATGCACATGTGCCTGACAGGATTTTCAAGCCACTGGGTTTGGTACTTGAACCAATCAGCCATGTGAGAATCCAGCACTTTAATCATGACACCTACTGGCTCTGGATTCTTCCCTTTGTCACATGGGGGAGGACAGAGTGTGGGGTTGTGCGGCGGCTTTTTCACGTATTTTGGCATCTGGTTCTGAGAGTTCCTAATTCCTTTGTTGGGGGCCCAGGGTCTGAGGAATGATCATTTATTTTCCTTCTCTGGTCCCAAGCCCCTCTGGAAATATCTTGTGACAGAACTCCTACTGTCATCAAGGCTTCATGGTGAGGTCTAATGTCTCTGCTGCTCCCAGTTCGGCTGGAATACGGAGTGGAACTGACACATGCTACCTTGAGTATATCCTCAATGAATTATTCTGATGATTAATTCAGGGTCTTGACCTAATTTCTTGAGTTAAATTTATTAACTCAAGATTGTACTTTTGCAACCACTTTGCAATCATTTATACCTTTATGTCATTTGTTTCACCTGTATATGTTGGGTCAGTGGCAAAGTTGTGACGTAAGAATGCGTCACGACTTCTCCAACAACCCAGTAATTTGGCCTTCAGTGTTCTCTGACCTTATGCTTTTGTCAGTTCAGTCTCATCTGTGTTTGGTCTTCCAGCAGCTTCTCAGAATTTCTACATTTGTGGCGTCTGTACGTTTGGATAATGTGGTACAACTGGGGCTGGAGATGAAAGTGGACAGATTCTAAAGTGATTTAGGAGTTAGGTAGACAGAGCCCAGTGAAAGACCGAACACGGGTGGTGAAAAAGCGGAGAGTAAAGAGATACGTTTCTCAGAGTCCTGATGGTTAAATTAATAAGTAACAGAAAGTGTAAGAGCAATACAGAAACGGAAGTTTTCCTATGAAATCAGATCAATACATACGCTAAGATCTAACAGATGCTGCACATTTAGTATGTGCCAGGCACTATTCAAAGGCTTTTTTTATCTTAACTCATTTATTCTCAGGGTAACCTATGCATTGGACATTATTCCTTTACAAATTCAAAGAAACAGTGGCACAGACACTGTAAGGGCCCCAAACCTGTTAATTTTTTTTTTTTTTTTTTTTTGAGAGGTTTTTTCATTATAGGGCACGTGCGCTCGCCAGGCAGAGAGAGACATAGAGACAGAAAGCAAGAAATCACCCCCCCCAGGGGGGATGGCCACGCCACAATCCCTTCTCCTCCATTCTCCTCTCGGGATCTTGGGTACACACGCACACATGCCCAGCATGAGTTCTAAGCCACCGGGTCCAGGATGCAAACCACGGTCAATTACATGGGAGTCCAGTGACATAGCCATTATGTTAACTGCTGGTTCCCGTAAGCATTCTTTTATTTTTAAGAGAGATTTTTGCTGTAGGGCGCATGCACTCACTGGAGAGGGAGACAAAAAGAAAGAAATCACCCCCCCCAAGGGGGACAGCCACACTGCAATCCATTCTCCTCTTGGGATCTTGGGCACACACGCCCAGAATGACTTTCAAGTCACCACATCTGGGACTCGAACCATGGCTGACAATGTGGGAGTCCAGTGATGTAACCATTATGCCATCTGCTAGTCTTGTAACCACTCCTTTTTAAATAATAATCTGGAGGTATGGAGGTTAATAGTTTCTAGTGGTTCAAGCGGATTTTCAAACCTGCCCGCTATGACTGAATGCTTATTTTCTACACAGAACATGTTGCAGAGGGCACTGTACACACGTGTATAAAAGCACACAGGTGCATACACCCTGAAAGTCTTCTCTACATACAATTCTGTTTCTTGATGAGGAAGGAAAGAAGCGTGACTGGTCTTCGATGAGGAAGAGCTCCTGCCGATGTCTGCTGAACTGGGCGGTAAAATACTCAGGACGCGGATGCTTCACATTCTCCGGGAGCTTTACAGGTGCAAGCATACAGTTTAAGGGAGACGGCAGAGGGCGGGGAATGTCACTCTCCCTAATAGGCATTTTCATCCCCAACACTTCAGCGTAAGTTACTAAGACCTCCCAAGGTGCGTGGATCTTGACAAAATAAGTTTTTCCATCTTCAGAGTCCTGCATTAAAACAGAGGCAAAGTAACAGAAAATTTATCCATCTGTTTGCTATTGAGCTGATTAAAGAAACAAAATTTTATAACATTTTGAGAATGTCACAGCATATTTGATTCACTGAAAAATTTTTTAGCAGAGCTTTTAGAAAGCCAAATTCTCAAAATAGATGTACTGGGTCATCAGAGAAGTCATGACACATTGTTCAATATTTTCCTATGCAAAAATGATTCATGAGTTTTCCGATGACCTGATATATTTATACTTACATAGCATATTATATGTGTGTATATGCTATATATATATGTATATGTATGATATGTTTTATAAATATAAAATGTATATCTCTGTGCCTGTTTTACATATATTTTAATATATATGTCCACATATACATGCATATATATATATATATATGAGTGAGAAATATATATATATATATATATATGAGTGAGAAAGAATACAGAGACCCCCAAATATACAATGTAGAGAGATTTTTTTAAAAAATATACTTCAGAGTCAGTGTACACTTAGCCCTAAATTCAGAACTGTACATGTGGTTCAGGGCTCAGGAATTTGCTTAGGCTGCTTAAGGGATACATACAACCTATTCAACGGACTCACTCTACTTACTCAATTTCTAAGTATAGCCCACACAGGGAGGAAGAACTTTGGGTAATAAACAGTCATTAAATAGAGTAAGTAATTGATTGTGTGTTATAATACACATTTATGAGTTTGGTAAACACAGGGAAGAAATACAAACTAGAGAATATTAAGATGAGAGAGTATTGGACATTTCATATTCTTAATGGCATCTTAAGTAGGTCTTTAAAACCAAGGGAAATTTGTTTTGAAGAGAATTCTAGAAGAACAATAAATGACAGAAAGTTTTAAAAAAAAAACACAAAAGCTACAAACTTGGCATATTCATGAAGAGTGTTCTGGCTTAAACGGCAGATGATACTGCAAGAGAGTCAGGTGAACTGTTTCAATCTCTTGGATAATGGTTTGTCCCCCAGAGAGTCACATTTTGGAATTGATCTTAGTGGGTGGTAACTGAATGTTCTCCGGAAATTCACTTGTTGAGATTTGACTTTTAAAATGTTAAGGAAAAACTTAATTCTTTCAGTGTCCCAGAGTGGGCCCTCTGGATGTGATGCTTTTAGGGCGGGGCCTCTCTGAGGGAGTTCTCCTGGGTCTATAAGCACAGAGAAGAGAGGTCAGAGCAACCGACAGACACCATGGACAGCGCTCTGCTCACTCCTACCTCTCCAAGCTGTAGCCTCACCACAAGTTGGCCCTGGATCTTGCACCCGGAAATCGTGAGCTAAATAAACTCTATATCTTTATAAATCACTCAGTCTCAGGTAATTCTATTAGCAAGGCAAAAACAGACAAATACAGCTATTTATTATAGCAGCTTATAGACAGCCTTCAAAGCAAGCCGGTTATGGGAAAAAAAAAGTCACTTTTTCCCCTGGATAGAAACAATATATCTATTGTTCTTATTTTACAATGTGTAACAACAGCACAGTTTTAAAAGTATTCCACTGATCAGCTCAGATGCAGAGTACTGATCTCCCCAGAAGACCATCCCCCCTACTGCTCGGGCATACTTTTTTAGCCATAAGAACTATGGTATTGTCCCTAAATATAAAGTCTACTCATTCAAAAGCCAGAATAGTAGAAAAACAACACTTAAAAAAATGAGTTTCTTGTATAAATTAACAACATTTACCCTTTTGTCTTCAATTTCCAACTCAAGGCCTGTTTTTCTGAGATTCTGTTCAAACTCCTTTCTTCTTTCCTATAGCAAAACAAATCAGTAGAATTAGGCCGAACAGCTTTGTTTCATTTGCCCAGGGATAGACAAGTTTAGTACACGATGTCGGCACCCCCAGATGGTTCTCTGCCCCTCCCATGATTGCATATTAGAGTACTTACAGTTCTCTGTATCACCTTCGTCTTGGTGCTGGGCAGTGCTCTTTGCCTGTGTCATGATTCAGAATAACTATGAAAATCCAATCTATTGGGACCAGCAGATGGCATAGTGGTTATGTCGCTGGACTTCTATGTGGCCAATTGTGGTTCAAGTCCAAGACCTGGAGGCTTCAAACTCACTCAAGGCACATGCGTGTGCATGGCCCAAATCCTGAGAGGAGACTGGAGGAGAAGGGTTTACAGAGTGGCCACCACCCCTAGGGGATGATTTCTCATTTTCTGTCTCCCTGTCTCTCTCTGTCTCTCTGATGAGTGCACATGTGCCCCACTGCAAAAATCTCTCTGAGGGAAAAATAAAATCCAATCTAAGAAATAACCGAGAAAATCTGTAGGACATCTGTCTGTGTAAAACTTCAGTAAATAACACAAAACATTTCTAAAAACTTTATAAGCAGAGGGCTATATCACGTCCCTACTAATGAAGACTCAGTATGACAAAGATCAGACTCAGAGGTGGTGAAGCAGTGATGCAATGGATCCACAGGGCAGGTCCTGGCTGCATGTTCTGGGACTTTCCAGGATTCCCATGGTCCAGGTTGGCTGAGGCTAAAGGTGGGTCACAGCATCAGGTCTGTGGGGAGTGTCTGTCTTCTTTGTCTGTCTCTCTCTCCCATGGAGCAAATGGATAAATGAACTTTAAAAATATTACAAAGAGACTAAGAAAATGGGCAACTTAATTGTAGGGACAATGTCTGGAGATGAATATTATATCCCAGAATTCAATCTGGAAGATCGAACCACAACAGAAGAAAGATTAAGTACATGAGACTGAACTGATGAAACAGCATTCTATGACTTCACTAAAATATTACTGCTTTTCTTCTAAGCTTTGTTGTCCGGTTTTAAAGGATTTTTTATCCCATCTCGAGCGGTCAATAGGTGCATGTACCTATATTTGAACAGAAAACTAACCCGTTTCTAGGCTTTAAGTTTCAAGGAAATATTGTTACCAGTTCAGAACTGCTTTTCTTGAAATTACCAGTTGAACTTGCTATTGAAAGTAGTTAGATTACTTATGATATTGTGTGATCAACAAAATGTTGGGGGAAAAGGAATGGAAGTCAACTGTAGACAGTAGAGATAGTGTAATAAGAGAGTGGGAAAGGGCAGAGGGTCAGACATGGGGTAAAAAAACACATATATATGAAAGTAGAAATGGAATATTATTGATGAAATTTTTTTAAAAAATGCATATTTGATGACTGCAGTAAGCTATATAGCCCCAGCTAGGTACTACTCTATAGTATGTTCATTCTACTCACTGAGGTTTATGCCTAAAGTCAGACTTGTGTTCATGTATATGTATATATCAGCTGCGCTTGCTATTGGAAATATTTAGACTAATTAAGTTCATTAGCAAATCAATTAAATGGGGGGAAAGGCATAGAAAGCAACCATGGATACCAGAGACAATGTGGGAAGAGGGTGGGACAGGGCAGAGGGTGAGGGATAGGGAATCAAGGATGGCAAAACAAAAAGCAAAGTAAACAAGATATAAGAAATGGAAAATTATTTGCTGATAATGTGTATGTTGATGTGCTTGATTGAGCCAATATACAGTGTATTTTGGATGGAAAATTCATTTGTATGCTGTAATGATGTATAGTGAATTAATGTAAAAAATAAATAAATTTAAAGAAAAAAAATATTACAAAGAGGAGCCAGTAGATGGTGTGGTGGTTAAAGGTGCTGAACCCCCACACGGCCAACTGCCATTTGAGTCCCAGACCTGGCGGCTTGCTTTCTCACCTTCCCTGTCTCTCTCACTCTGTCCCTTTCTGGTCAAATTAAAATAAATAAGTAAATAAAGTTAAAATAAAATAATCCTTAAAAAATTACAAAGATCAATATTCAAATACATTACATATTCCAATGTAGTGGTAAACCAAAAGCTTCTTTTTAACCTTGAAGGATAGAGTAGCTTTGCTCATGAGAGAAAAATATTTAAGCTTAACTATAGGTCATTCATACAAACATCCATTACTTGGGAGGGAAGCTTAAAATAATGCATTGAGGGGCCAGCAGGTGGTGTGGCGGTTAAGGGTGCTAGATTCCCACATGGTTGACCATTGTTCGAATCCCAGATCTGGCGGCTTTCTCTCTCTCTCACACACACATACACAAACACACACACACACATGCACGTACTGTCTCTCTATGATCAAATTAAAAATAAATAAATAAGTTAAATAAAATAATTCTTTAAAAAAATGCATTGAGGGTTCAAAAATCTTTTAGTTTTAATTACGATTTAAGTGTAAAAATTTCAGAGCAACTGAAATTTTGGAAGACTTTACTAGGATATTTTATGGCTTTTTTTGGTGTGTGTGTGTGCGTGTGCGTATGTGTGTTTGCATATGCACTTGCCGGGAAGAGGCAGACAGACAGAAAGAGGAAAAGTGAAAAATCACTCCCCTAGGGTGAGGGAATGGCCTCACTGCAATCCCTTTTCCTCCATTCTCCTCTAGGAATTTGGGCATGTATGCTTACACACCCAGTGTGATTTTCAAGCCACCAGGTCCAGGATTTGAACCTTGGTCAGCCATGTGGGAACATAGACTCTTAACTACTACACCATCTACTGGCCCCAACACTCATTTTAAAATGATTATGTCTAACTTTAAGCCTCTGCAAATTTACAAGGAAAAAAAGAGAATATTAGTAAGTTTTTTCCTTCTATTTCCAATGTTTCCTGCATAAGAGAACAAGCCTCTAATCTATGATAATGGTATACCTTCTCTTTTCTCAGCTATCCTTTCACAATTGCCCTTCTCTTGTTACCAAACTTAAGTAGCCTGCAAACTTCTAGGGAGCAGGCACAAAGGGGAGAGGACATTCAAAATATTGTTATCAGTACTGAAAAAGTGAATACCTGCATAACTGTAGCAATACGTGCTTTAGTAACTAAGATGATCATCAGCTCTCTGAAAACTGAAGGCAGAGGTAACGGAACTGTCATCTCGCAGACCATTAAACATTACCGATATATCACTTTGTAATCACTGAACTTAATTCAGAAATTCAAATCTGACTGACACTGCTGCAATAATAATCTAATCCAATCTACATCCTTATCTGAACAACCTTCCTCTTTACTAACTTATAAAATCAAAAGCAATATAGTAATAATTGAAGCCGAGCCATCTCAATGTGGAAATAATAACTCATCCACGAACACAGAGAACAATGTTTAATGCCCCTCTGCCCATCTCATTAATTCTGACATTTATGGAGCTCATTTATGTTTGATAATCGTCTGTCAAATTTTGTAATATATTCATGGTAATTTATCAATGATATATTCATACAATTATAAAAATAACTCAATACAAAAGACAGAAGTTTAAGACTTAGAGTGTTATGGTAAAAGTTAAAAACACTTCTATCAACATACATACATTTGTTGTAGTAAAGTTATGATCGAGCAGAAAATCTCACGGATAGAACACTTACATTAGGAAAAAATTATATGGGGAAAGTGAAATAGAAATGTTATGTGATGAAGAAACAGAAATAATGTAGGATTTTAATTGTTTAAAAAAGGTGGCTTTTGTACGTTTAAAAAAATTTTATTTTCAAGTATTTTTTCAAAAATGAATATGGGAGGGTGTCATGGTATTTACTTAATATGGGAGGGTGTCATGGTATTTACTTTCTATAGATGCATGCTAAAAAGTTAACTTTGCTGAACCATTTATAAAATACTGTAAGTTACCCTTAATGCCAAATGTACAATGAATAATTACAGATGGAAAAGACAGAATAGATGGGCCAGGCTCTTTGGGGTAAGTTCAGTTTCCCTGGACCTGGAGAGTCTGAGATGCCTCTGAGACTTGGCAAACAGGGATGCAGAGCACGCATTTAGTTATATACATTTGGGATAGAAGTCGAGACAGGAAAGGTAATCTTTGAAATTAGCAAGTTTATGGTTTTAAAATTATGGCAAGCAAAGAATATCACTGTAGGAATCAATTCATGTTAAAAAAGACAAGGATTAAGGCCTGTGTCCTGAGGCACTATAATATTAAGGGATCCAGGACAAGAAAAGGTTCAGAAGGAACAACTAGGAAAAGAAGAGAAAAACCAAGAATGTGGAGCCCTTGAAGCCAAAGGAAGGACAGACACAACAGAGAAGACAGTGACCAAGTGTCCCAAGAGTAGCTGGTCCATCCAGCGGAGGGCTGAGACCTGACCATTAGCTTTGTATACGGAGAGGGACAGAGCGGTTGGGGTGAGGGCCTGAAAAAAACGTGTTTAAGAAAGAACTGAGGGAAGCCAACAGGTGGCTCAGTGATTATGGCGCTGAACTCCCATGTGGCCGACTGCGAGTCTTGGATCTTGCGGCTTGAAAATCACACCAGGTATGTGTGCATGTGTGCCCAAAATCCCAAGAGGAGACTGGAGGGGAAAGGAATGCAGTGTGGCCCTTCCTCCTGGAGGACTACTTCTAACTTTCCTTTTCACTGTCTCTCTCTGGCAAGCACATACACCTTATGGCAAAAACTTTTAAAAAGAAAATGAAAGAGAGTTGGGCAGAAAGAAATTCAAGGAATGAAAAGTACCTAGTGGGAAACTGAGATCAGAGAAGGTTTTGTTGTTGTTTTTAATGGAAAAATTAACAGGATATTAGTTTGCTGAAGGAACTGGTCCAGTAAAGAACACCACAAAAAGTAACTTAAAGAATTATAATAGCAATGCTCTCAGTAGGTGCACAGAAAAGAGTCAATACAGCAGGTATTATTTGTCTCCTCAGAAAGGCATGCCTGCAACCTTAGAAAAGGTGTCTAGGATCTGGGTTTGCTGAATAGCGCCAACCATTCCCAGAACTGAGAGTGGCCCACTTTGCCCGAGCTGTTTCCACAAACAGCGTAGCGTTTGCTGAGCACCTGCTTTCCTCCTGGAAGCACGAGCTTTTCTATGAGCTATGCAGAAGATGATGAGAGTGAAAATGTACAGAATTCCTCTTCTGTTTGCTTCAGTTTTCTCAGTGAAGTGAGGAAAGTGTAGTGAGCTACGTTTAAGGATGGGCAGGAGGTAGTGAGGCATGAGGAGAAAAAGTCACAAAGCAGGCATCCAGGAGAGGAGCAACAACAGAATGGAAAAGCCAAGCAGGGCTACCAGGCAGCCAGATGAGAACTAGAGAATACAGAGAACTGCAGTTCTTAGAAATGACAAGCTCGAGAGGTGTGGATGACTGAGTGCCGGTGGAGGCTAAGATCACTGGTAAGGGGAGTTCAAGGAATGGAGAGGCCGGTGTGTCAACACAGTCATTTACATAGGCATGAGCTTACTGATGATTCTGAAAGACGTTCTGGTAGAGAGACACTGAGAGAGGAGCTAAAATGGGGAAACAAACAGAGAAGACCCAGGGACAGATAAATGATAGCAATAATGCAGGGTAGTAATAAGTCTGATGAATTTGATTCAAGTTCAGGAATTTCAGGGACAGAAGGGGAATGGAGTATAATCAAAAGAGGATAAAAAGGGGGGGAGCAGCACTCACGCCCCCCTCCCCAGGGTGAGGCTAGGTAAGGGAACGCCACCACACTTGCCAGGATGATGAGGGGAGACGACGAATCTCAATGAACAGCCAGGTTCACGGGGAATATTCAGAGAAGGGACAAAGATGATGATGGCCCGGGAATTTAAGAGGCCTGCTAAGAGGCTTTCCAGAGAAAGCGTGGACAGAAGGGACAGGGCTAGATATGCACAGCATTTGATTTCTTTTTTTTTTTTTTTGGAATTATCTAATTAAACTTTATTTATTTATTTTTATTTGACCAGAGAGGGACAGAGTGAGAGAGACAGGGAAAGTGAGAAAACAAGCTGCCAGGTCTGGGACTCAAACCATGGTCGGCCATGTGGGAGTCCAGCATTCCTAGTCACCACACCACCTGCTGGCCCCTAGATATGCACAGCATTTTGTGAGAACAGCTATCGTTTTACATTTTTTATTCTGTGACCTTTACTTTGTAAGTAAAGAAATACATACATATATGTGTCCATGTGTATATATACGCACAAATATCTATATACATACATACATGGATGCACATATATAGATGAATATATTAACATTATCTCAAATACTGAGTATTTATTGAGCATCCATTATGTTTCAACCTCTGTTTTAGGCATTTGGAAACATAAAATAAACAATAAAGTTCTTTAGCCTCATGAATTCATTCACAGTGCTGGAGACAGTAAAAAAGAGAAAAAGAAAAAAAAAAAGAAAGAAATAATATACAATGAGGCCAGCAGGTGCAGTGAGTATGGCGCTGGACTCCCACATGGCCAACCACAGTTCAAGTCCCAGACACGGCCCAAAATTCACATCATGCCCAAAATCCCAGGAGGAGAATGGAGGAAAAGGGACTGTGGGGTGGCCATCCCCCCACATAATGATTTCTCCCTCTCATCGTCTCTCTCCGGTAAGGGCCTACACCTTATGGTAAAAACCTTAAGTAAAAAACAGTAAAATAATAAACAAAGGGTCAACAGGCTTATAGAAAATATATACTCTATTAAAAACCATGCAAGGATTTCAAAACTTTTTGTACCAAAATAAACCCGTACTATGATTCCATTTTTTCCATGAACGTTTTGGAGTCCCCTCATAAGTTCAGAAAGTGGTATTCTTGTTGAGCACACTAAGAACGCTGTTCAGAAAGGATGGATTCATTGTACAGTTCCAAAAAGTAAGTATCGCAATCAGGCACACACGCCAAATGCTGGAGTTCACATTTAATATCTAACATGAGCTATATATGTGAGCTTCAGTTACTTGAAAGAAGAAGAAAGAGAAGTAGGTTTCTAAAATATTTAAAACATAAATTGATTTTAGATATTCACTTAGAGACTGCCAATTTTGTAGTTGTTTCACCCAATTTTAGCTTTCAGTGACACTTCTGAGGCCTCTGTCTTGTACAACCTAATTCAATGCAGACATCCATGTCAAACTAAATAAGTCACTTCTTTTTATCAGCCTCTTTCCTCTTAGGTAAGTACTTACTGCCTTCAGGTCTCCGTCTTTCTTTACATCATCAACATAGGAAAGCACAAAATCGATCTGCCTAATTCCGTCTCGGAAGAAAATAGAATCTTTGCTATGTTTGTGTTTTTGAAACTGCAGGAGACAAAAGGAACATAATTTAAAATTATAGTTGTATTCTCAAGAGGCAAAAAACATGAAAGGGATTATCTAACATTCGGTTACCACCTAAGTTTTCTTCCAGTCGTAAAATGATGGGTCAAGACAAATGACCGGGAGTTTTCATCGACAGAAGATCATGCTTGTTTTACAAAAGGGAATTTCACACAAGAGATTACACAACGGTGACTCAAAAGGAAGTTAAGCCTTTTAACCACATGCACATACAAGTAAAATGCTGCTGTTACGTCAAAATACAAAAGGAATACATGTACAGAGTGACCCCAAATGCAAACCAGAGAGACACTTGTTAGCTTCATTAAACAACATCCCAATTAGTTGACTACATAAGTCTTGTTTACACACTACTTTGGGGGGTATAATTAATTATAGACCAATTAATGGAAGGTCACTGTAAGAAAATAAGCTGATGATTAATGCTAAGACTACATTTTCACTAACTTGTCACTTTCTAATTTAACTTTCGAAAGATTAAAAGAAAATCAAGGTGCAGTTCAAAATTAGAAAGCAGGTAGCTTGCCAGCTGGCCTTACTACAAGTTAAGTTCTCATGCAAAGCTCCCTACACATTCCCAGGAGAGCCAAAATCAACCCTTCGTTTAAATTTGGATAAATTCTCCAGGATGATAATCAAGCCAAAAGTTTAACTGTACTTTCACGTGTTGTATACTTCATTAATCTCCTCCCTTTCAAAACAGCAAAAAGACTAGAGAGCTCCAGAAAGACTGCATGCTTAATTGATCGGGTCTTCTTCACCGTTTACATGTAATACACAATTCTTAACCCTTGCAGCAGCCAACACCGAATACTTAGAATTAGGAAAATGAATAAAGCAATAATCAACAACTTTCCAATTGTTTTAGCAACCTGTGAATGAGTAGCTAGATGGTTTTAATTTTTAAAGCTGGTATTTCTATTAGTTCATGAGTTTCTTTACAGAACTCTGCCATTTTTCACCCAAGTCAGGCAAAATAGGCCTTCCATAAAAGGGAATGAATGCAGATCACAGATCAGTCATGTATGAATAAAACAGAATTCTCATGTTTCATCTGTGGTCCAGGAACAGAGTAATTGTATTTATGTACTAGTGCAGAGTAATGTGTCTCAGAGAACTGACTCCTAATGCATGGAAGAAAATGAACTGAAAATGAACAGAGAAACAATAAACTAGGGAGATTAAAATAAAAAATAGTGACTCAAGGGTTATGTTTGAGTTCTCTAGAGTCCAAAGGACTCATAATCACCTCTCCTTTCCTCAAAGATTGTAAAAATATCCGAGAAATTAAAAATGTTATAATGTTATACCTTGACTACAAATTGCTAAAAAAAAAAAAAAGGAAACCAAAACAAAACCAAAAAATCATTCGCATTCTGGTAAATCATGATAGCATTAGTATATCTTATGAAATTCACCGAAATTTGTGGGAGACAAGTGGGAAGAAAAAAAAATACTAGTCAGACTAGATACAGTTAAAGCACAAGATTAGAAAGAAAAAAAAAAATTCCTTCATCTAAGTCTGTGACATCCACCTGTTGTATGGCAGAGTTTGGTTTGGTTTTATGATGACTACTTATAAGGGCTCATATTGTTTAGGCAAATTAAGAAAAGGTCTACAAAGAGCAGTTCTGGTTACAGAAAATGAACACATAGAAATTCACGAAAATCATACTCATAGTGTCTGATAATTAGGCAACCATGACTACAATGAGTTTCCTGTGTACACAGTTAAAATGAATACATATGTTTTCCTTTTCCCGAAAGCCAAAGGGTACTTAAAAAAACTCAAACTTCTACCACTATAGCATTCCCTAAGTATAAACTGTAAAATGTTAAAAATATACATAGGGAAAAAAATCACTATGGCATACATGCGTTAGAATAGGTCACAAAAATTGGTTAAAGCTAACTGGAGTGGGAAAAACTGATAATGTGGTTGCATGTAAAAGTGAACATTATTAAAACATATCATGCTTTGATTTTGCTCAAAATGTGGCATAAATGTATTTTATAGTTATGTGCATATGTTTGTGTTTATATTTAAGTTGTTATCAGAAATCCCTGTTTATAAGGAAGTGACCATCTGAATAGCTTTTCTTTTAATAATGTAGTTATTCTAAGTTCTTGATGGGGGTTCATAAACCTTTAAAACTGTGGTGTGTGTGTGTGTGTGTGTGTATGTGCATGTGTGTGTACATTTTTAGAAAGAGTACCCACAGATTTCATCAGATCCAGAAAGATTAAGAACTATCGTTCCTAAGCCTCATTTGGCTCAACAGGAATCAATGACAAAGATCTCTCCCCCCCCCAGGTCCACAGTATTCACTGGAAGGAAAATAACCCGGGCTACCACTGTGGCCATCCAGAGCATAAGCAGCCTCAGTCAGCACGGGTTTTACCATAAGACGCCGCCTCAGGAACAAATTGAATCGCTTTGCAGGCTGTGAAGCAACCAACAGAGAGTTAGCAAAACCTGCATAAAATCCCAAAACAGACACTCCAACAAACAAAGCCTCAGTGTGATCGCTCTATGAAGGTGTATCTGGGTGTGACATTTAAAGATGGAGGGCAGGAAGGAAAGGAAAAAAATTAGAAAAAATGTTTAAAAAACATAGACAAATGCAGCCCAGCTGTGATGGCACAGGTGGCAGGGTACTGCTGCACTATGCTGGGGCCATGTGGGAGGCCCAGATGCGAATCCCAGGCTGATCTGAATATGCCAGGCCCATCTGTGACCCTGACTGGGTGTGGGACGTAGAGGCATGGTGAGACGCTGTCAAAGGCATCTGTGGCTCATTTTCTCTGTCTCTCTCTCTCTCTGTCTGTCTCCTTCTCTCTCTCTCAAGAGACATGTAAATGAACTTCAAAAAAATACAAAATGGTGCAAGTCAGGTGGCATGGTTTAGGTGGCTATAGATTCCAGTTGGCCACCTGGGCGGTTCAAGTTCTGACCTGACAGGTTGAAGAATTCACATGTTAGGACATGACCAAAGTCCCAAGAGAATGGAGGAGAAGGGGTTGTGGTTTCTCTCCTCCATGGAGGGTGCTTTCTCACTTCCCTCTTTCTCTGGTGAACAAATTATCATGAAAGATAAATATGTAAATGAAAAAGAGGTAAATTTTCCTAAGTCTTCTATACAGTGGCTTTAAATAATAAATATTTTTGGAATTGAACTTAAAAAAAAAAGGACAGAGAGAGCATAAAAAAAAAGGAATAATTGAAGATAAAGTAAAACAGACATTCTGTTAAGTATGCCTCTGCATCAAAGAAAGCACAATTATTATAATTACGCTGGGAGGATACGTGCTATGCAAAGTTTATCCAGAGTTTATTTTTTAAGTATCACCTGACCTCCCACATATTGAAAAAAAGGGAAAAGTCATTCAATTATTTAAATGCTGAGTTGTTGCCAATCTTCCATTATCAGGGTCATTATTCAAAATACCAAAGCAATTACCTAAAAATAACTAGGATAATCAATAGTATCTGAAAGAAAACCAAATCTATATTACAAGAAGGCAAGTACTGAATGCATTTTATAGGGTAATAAAAGACAAACAATTTCATAAAATGATCATTAAGGGAGTACAGTTCTTGGCATGCAAAGTTCTGCCCACACTGTTTTCTTCCTGGAAGAAGCTGAAGAGACCTAAGCAACTGGTGACTACTGGACTGAAAACCTCTGCTCTATAAACCAATGAGCCTTCTGCTATAGACAGAAGATTGAATATTCCTATAATTTGAAAAAACAGCAGATACCAAATAGATGCCAGTTATTTTATATCCTATATCTTAAATAGTGTTCTGTTGGTCTAAAATTTTTCACCTCGGTATTTTGATTTTCTTGGTATCGTTTATAAAATTTACAGGTTACCATTTTTCGTAGATGTCTATCCTAAATTTATTATAGAACGTCAGAGAAACAAGAGTGCTATGCTACGGGACTCTGTGGGACCTTAAGACTTCCATGAATTTTCAACACAGTTAACCTGAAAGAAATCGCAGACCTAAACATAAGAGTTAAAACTATAAAACTGATGAAGATTTGAAAAAATTTTCCCAAATCAGGGTTAGATAATTATTTCATAGAATACAAAAAGCATCAACCATAAAAAAAAATAGATGAAAAGCTGAACTTCAAACCTTTTCCAATTTGCTTATCTAAAAACAGTAGCCAAAGCTAGAACAATTAGAGCACATGAAATAAACAACACAGTATTTGGTTATAACAAAGTACAAAATAAAGAACCCATATTGAAATTAAGAGAGAAAAAGAGGGAGAGAGAAAAGAAGACAGGAAGGTAGGCAGGCAGGAAGGAAGGAAGGAAGGAAGGAAGGAAGGAAGGAAGGAAGGAAGGAAGGAAGGAAGGAAGGAAGGAAGGAAGGAAGGAAGGAAGGAAGGAAGGAAGGAAGGAAGGAAGGAAGGAAGGAAGGAAGGAAGGAAGGAAGGAAGGAAGGAAGGAAGGAAGGAAGGAAGGAAGGAAGGAAGGAAGGAAGGAAGGAAGGAAGGAAGAAAACAAATATTCACAAATACTTGCAAATAAATATTCACCGTTAAGGAGGTACAGCATAGCCCCCAATCCTTCTATGTGGGCTCCCCATAGCGACCTTCTTCAGAACAGTACAATATACAGAGAGGAAATAACGGAAGTATCTTTCCAGGGGGGATAAACCTGACAAAATGCTTCAGGTCAGGTCATCACAGACATGGGATATAGGGAACTCTGTTTACTTACTTATTATAAATCTGTAAATCCAAAACTCTACTATAATTTAATTTTTAAAAGAAAGCAAGGATAATGTCAACATAGTGAATGAAATATTACATATTGCTTAAAAAATTTAAAAGTCAGTTATTGGCCCAGCTGCAGTGGCTCACGGAGGAGGCACTGCTGTGTGATGCTGGAGCTCCATGGGAAGGCCCTGGGCTTGGGTTTGGACCCAGGTCGACCCAAGCAGACTACGGGTGCCTGAGATCCTGTCTGACTGGGAGGCTGGGAGGAGGATGAGGGTGTAGCAAAACTCTGTCAAAGAAACCTGTCTGTCAGTTTCTCTTGCTCATGAAAGGAAAGAATAAATAAGTAAAATTTAAATTATTATTAGATAACATAATTGGGGAAAGTATTTGCAACTTTCATCATAGACAAAGAGATCATAAGAAATACATACAGAGCTCAAAAAAAATAGTAAAAAAGAAGAAAAGGAAAAATCTATCTCCCTGGCAGGAAAATGGACAAGATGTGTGAATAGAGTGATCTGGCAAAATAGATTAAAATGACCATTCAACACAGAAAAGGGTGAAATCCACATTCATGCTGAGAGAAATGCAATTTTAAGCTCACCGAGACACTGAGCTAGCTGAACTGGCTCTGATTAGCTGCTTTCTCTCACTATTGGGGAAAAACCTAAAAGCATGACAACACATTATTGATAAGGCTGTGGGGTAACAGGCTCTCTCACACATTTGCAAGGAAAGAAAGACAGAGCAATTTGGCAAAACAGGGCAAAACTACCCATGCTTTTATTCTTTGATAGGGAAATCTCATGTAGACAGATACACAGGCCAACACACTGCTCAACAGGGTATATTACAACACTTTATAAATTAGCTTGGGAAGACTAGAATGAAAATGGCTACTACAGAACCACTGAAGAATTCAAAGAAGGAATACGGTGTTCTCAGAAAATGCTGTTTCATGGTTTCAACATGAGAGGGACTTGCCCTCAAGCTAACAAAGTGTAAGTTTCAGGACCTCCTGAATGACTACCCCTGCCAAGGATTTAGAAAAGACTCTAGCAATGTGTTCTCAGGTTAAAATAAAATAAAATAAAATAAAATAAGTACTCTTTTTCTTTTTTTAATAACGAGTGTTTATTTTTCTTATTATTTTTTTAATTGCCAGATGTGTATGTGCTTGCCAGAGAGAAAGAGAAAGAAAGAGAACACCCTAGTGCAGCATGGGCACCCTGCAATTGTTTCCCCTCCATTTCCCCAACCTGTCAGGATTTTGGAGACTCATGCTCATGCGTGTAGCATGCCTTCCAGTTGCCCGGGGAAGGGGTTCAGACTGTGGTTGCCATGTGGGATCCAGTTCCATCCACACAGGGCTTGAGCTCTGCACTGAAGGATTAACCCTCATTAGTACTCTGAGTGACACCAATTACAGATCATGTAAATGTTTTCCCATAATCAAAAGTTAAAAATAAAGAAGACAAAAAAATAAATCTATAAAATGTCAATTATTATCATTCGATCAAACCCACAGTCCTCACTTCAGAACACTAAGGGTAAGTCGGCCTAGTGAACAATAAACTATCATCTATGTTAAAATTCACAGTGTAAGAATATAACTGTATTTCCCCATCTTCTCCAGCAGCATCCTTTATTTTCTAAGAAACCAATGCCAAAGTTTGAGTTTCTTTACTAACTTATGAATTGATATTTAAATTTTATTTCTAAGTAAATTGTGCCACCTCATAATTACTCCTAGACAGATACTTATGTACGGATAATAAGAGTGATGTAATAGAGGGACCAGTAGTTAGCGTAATGGCTATGTCGCTGGACTCCCATGTAGTCGACCGCGTTCTGGACCCCGTTCGCGTCCTGGACCCGGTGGCTTAAAACTCACGCCAGGCGCGTGTGCATGCATGCCCAAGATCCCGAGAGAACAGAGGAGAAGGGATTGCAGTGTGGCCATCCCCCCGGGGGGTGATTTCTCGCTTTCTGTCTCTCTGTCTTTCTGGCGAGCGCGCGCGCCCTATAGCAAAAACCTCTCAAAAAAAAAAAAAAAAAAAAAGAGTGATGTAATGGAGAAAGAGTACAAAACTAGTCCTCAGAAACTTGAGTTTTGGTCCAGAAACTACCCCTATGATAAATGCAAGAAAGGATACCACTGGTTGCTGCTTACCTTGGTTGGTCCTTCATCAATGAGAAAGCTGCTCTCTCCACTGCTCATGCTCTACCAAGGACAGGGAAAAAGAGGAGATATAATGTTGTTAGTAATAATACAAAGGTGTTAGGGGAGTGTTTAAATTTCATTAGCAAAAAGTTTACAAATATTAAACCTGGAATTCGAAAGAGCTAGGAAACATCTGAAACTGTATACAAAACTGTGTGTTTTATGAATATACAGGCATATGTGCTCATGCATGTGTATCTATATTATCTCTCTCTGTGTGTGTGTGTGTGTGTGTGTGTGTGTGGAGAATGAGATACAGAAATAAAAAGTTTAGAGAAAATGAGAATTTGGGAGAAAGCTTTATCAAGTCATAAAAAAAAGGAGACACAAGAAATAGCTAAGAACTACTATATCACTAAGAAATAACAAAGGGCTCTAATCTTTAAATAATACTGAATCCTGAACAGGACCAATAAGAAGGGCAGGCTTAATTGACTGTGTCATGCCTTTTAACATTTATTTGAGAGTATTAAAGTAAATACCTTGGAAAATAAACCTGCAGGATTCTTAAAAATTTGTACTTTGGGGCCAGCAGATGGCATAATGGTTACATTATTGGACTCCTACATGGCCAACTGTAGTACAAGAATAGGACCCAGTGGCTTGAAACTCAGACTGTGTGTGTGTGGGTGCATGTGCGTGTGTACCCAAGATCCCAAGAGGAGATTGGAGGAGAAAGGACTGCAGTATGGCCACCCCCCCAGGGGGTCGATTTCTTACTTTCTGTCTCTCTGTCTCTGTCTTGTGTGTGCACATGCCCTAGAGCAAAAACATCTCTCTCTCTAAAAAAAAAAAAAAAAGAATTTGCACTTTGTAATATAAGACAAAGCCACACATGTATATAAATATGCACCACTTATAACTAAAGCAGTAATTTTGCTTCCTTCAGTGTATGATGGATTTTCTAATCCATATGGCACATAGTAACTAATGAGCCACAGCATAACCTCCTGAGGTCGTTTGAATCCAATCGCCTCTTAGTATCCATAGTGATGCATTCAGGAGGGTGCTATGGAGACACAGCAGCTGACAGAAATAACCTGAAATTCATAGAAATTCATGTACATTGGCCTTGGAAAAGGGCACCCTGGAAAACCACCACCAGTATCTCATCCTGCCAGGTTTTACTGTACCAATTTCGAAAACAGCAGCTAGCTGTGCTATAGACACATTTAAAAACACTCATAAAGAGCACTTTGGAAACACAAACAATATAACAAAAGTTAAGTATCAGAACAGGCCACAAAGATGCAGTAATGTCTCTGTCATAAGATGGATAAACATGATTTTTAACACATCAATTTTCATAGTACTTTATTTAATATAAATTATACAAAAACATGAATATTGTTACGGTATTAAAGTGTTACTGAAATCGGA